AAAAAAAAAAAATATTTTTTACATCACTACTTCGCTTTGTCGAAATAAGACTTCAATTGAGCCATTTCTTCTGCAAAAACTGCCGCCCTTTCAGGAGCAACTGCCGCGAACTCCCGATGCATATCTGATGACATGGACTCCCACTGTGCGACCCACTACACAAAGCACAAGAAAATAAAACATATACACACATTTAAATTATAAGACATAAAAAAAGTGTAATGAACGAATACTAAATAAAATTTAGTAAACGACTTACAAAATCGACGTTGGCACGCGCAGAGACAGCCTCAACATCCGCCTGACTATCGGGCAAGAGCCTAGGATGAGAATACTGCTCATACCATCACTTGTAGTCATCATCGGCCGCCCCCAGATCATCTGTCGTGGTCGGAGTAAAATTATACAAGCGTACAGAATGCAGCCGTGGGAACTGGCCCCAGTGATCTACTGCAGTAGTAGCTCCATGCTCGACCCTGTACATCCTAGAATTCCAACCACGAAATGCAGTGTTCGGGCGATCCATGCTGGGAGGTATGGTCTGGTGGTAGCCCAACTGGCGCAAGAAACGCATAGGCATGTACGGCTCCATAATATCTCGGTACCTAAGGCATTCGGAATAAAGGGTCCTAGGCTCCAACACATGTGGCTCGGGGTCGTATGGCAACTAGTTTACATGTTCACATTTGCATAAAACATTTATTCGAACAATTTGAGTATTCTAAATAACTTTCAAGTAAATGTAAATAAAATAACTTAACGTACCTCGGCGGCTGTGAGTCTGTCAAGCCGCACACGGAAATCCTTGAGGCGCTTATCTGAGTTATCTGGGACGGCGGTCCTCCACAAGGCTGATCGAGCTAGGCTACCAGGCTCGGAGGCCATACGAGCACCGGGGGGTCGAAATGTGGGGACATAGTCATATATCCAAGACTGCAACAGAGTCAAGCAGCCCGCCACTCCCACCGAGTCCCCCCTGCTGGCCATACCTAAATGTCTTAATAGGTATGCCAGTGTGGCCGATCCCTACGAGTAATCCCCAACTGTCTTTAGGTTCTGCATCATCTCGTACAGGATCTTGGGACTGACCCTGTTACCACTCTTGTCTGTAAACAAGGTGGTAGCGAGCAGCACCCACAACCAGCCAGTCGCCATATGCTCAGCCGACCGTCTTGCGCCATTCTTCTGCAAGGCAGTAAAAACGGCGTTATTCGACACCGAGCCGTGACTCCAAAAGCTCGCCATCAGCCTGTCCTGGCTCACCCCCAGCAGCTCCATGCAGTACGCATGTTGTGTCATGCTGTCGAGGTCCCCTGTGACTACCGATCCGACGACAGGAACCCCCAGTATGGCCCTCACGTCGTGGAGCAGGATACTCATTTCACTAAAAGGAAGGTGAAACGAGTTAGTATCCGGCTGCCATCGCTCAACAAATGCTGAAATAAGTGGAGTGTCGACGTGCTCGTGCATGCTGGACGCCAGATGTAACAGCCCGGTCGGACGGATCAGATCTCGCGCACTGTCATCCATCCCTGCGAGCCACTGCCTCAAAACTTCGTTCGCCGACATCCTGTTTTGGCACTTCAACGTGCCTCTGAGCTGTCCAGTTCAAATTCGGGAGGCTACGTGCCCTAGAAAACTAGGGATAACACTCCCGTCGATGGGGCCACCGGGTACTGGGGCATTAACAAGCCAGTCGTCGCACTTAGTGCGTTTGCTGCTCGCCTCTGTATTAAAATAGAACAATTATTATATATACAACAGATTGTGATTGACTGTATCAATAATGCACTATTATTAAATAAAATCTACATATATATAATTGTTGTTTAACAGCATTTAATAAAACATTTAATAAAACTTCATTTTGATTTCCATCCAAACTCGTTACAAACTTTATTATTATTATTATTATTATCATTATTATTATTATTATTATTATTATTATTATTATTATTATTATTATTATTATTATTATTCGACCATATCTAATTAATGCTAAACTAGTAACGAAGTAATAAATACAGTTTTTATTATATCATATAATAGTTATTATTAAAACTAATAACTATATTTTAAACTAAATTATATATGAAAGTCACATAAACATAAAAAAATATTATAAACTTTTTTTTTCCTGAAGTTATTTATTTTAAAATTAATATTATATTTTTTTATATTATTTAGCGATTGTAAACAACAATAAATACGTAAATCATTTACCTGATGATGAGGTTGCGCCTGCATAACGACCCCCAGCCTGTCGTGGAGGATCCACTCGGGCAAGTCGTTTACCTGGACGTGCCTGTGGCTGTGGCCGGGGCTGGGGATGTGGCTGTGGCGGTGGATGTGGCTGTGGCTGTGGCTGTAG